CCCCAAAACCCCAAAACCCCAAAACCCCAAAACCCCAAAACCCCAAAACCCCAAATTGAGTTGATATATTTGAAACATGCTGTTATTAGATTAAGTTTATAAATTAGAGATTCATGAGTGTTATATATTAATGAATTCCTGGAAGATGGCTTAATCCAGATCCACCTCTGAATTTAGGATTTGACATAATTCTCTTTTAGAGTAGTTGTAGTTCGTCTTAGCCTATAAGGAATGGTGAGATTCATTCAATAAGTTGTATAGATTACCTCAAGACCATGCATTAGGATAGCGTATTTATCGTACTTGTGTGATGCCTCGTCTTCATTGGAAATTCCACCGAAGTAAATCTTTTTGGCAAATCCCATGATCATGACTTGCCATTTCCTTCCATTGTGGGAGACACCTCTGAAATGAGAGAGCTTTGAGTTCTTTGAGATTGGCTTAGGACTTCTTTGCAGGATAATGTCATCATCCCCGAATTGGTTCAACTCTTGCAACGTGTCTGCCTTTCTGGACTGGATGAGCTTCATGATGCTCTTCAGATTATTTCTTCTTTTCTCTTCTTTGCTGAGCTTAGGATTGGATCTTGGACTGTTATGAGAATGATGCGTGGAATCGCTGTCCTCATGCTCTTGCTTTTGAGCCATTGGCAACCTCAAAGCTATTCTGTTACCAGACAAAGCAGGGCTAGATGCCTTTGATGGCTTTGGTAGATCCCTGATTTGGATAAAGCTCTTTGGCTTCTCTTCCACCTTCATGAAAGGAGAAAAAGCTGAGTTGTGGTTGATTTCATTTAGTTTCATGCTGAAACAAATATTAGAGCATGAAAAGGAGTTTGGAATGCTCAACGTAGGAAACTTGCTATACAAATAAGTATAAGACAAGTTCAAAGAGAGTAAGGAGAAGCCTAAGCCCTTCAATAGAGGCAGTAGGCCTTGGAAATAGTCTTGACTTACAATTGACTGTCGATTGGGAGTTGGATATCGCCGAGAATACTATTAAGTTGATTGATTTGAGAGTGATTCATTATTAATTAATTATAAATCTTGTATTTACTATGTTTAAATTCCTACTGGGGTTTTGGGGTTTTGGGGTTTTGGGGTTTTGGGGTTTTGGGGTTTTGGGGTTTTGGGG